GGGGTCCATTTGGGCAACATGTGTGTGTGCACGCATGTGTGCGTGCAGGTGTGTGCAGCGAGCCGGGGAAGGACAGGGCCTCTGGGAGAACTGGGGACCGCGGGGACGAAGACTGTTTCTCAGGCAGACAGCACAGGAGGCTGTCTCTAGCTTTGGGGAGCCCCAGGGCTTGCGGGGTTCCCTCCTCAGGGGCTTGGGCTGGGGACAGAGGACATGTGTGCGCTCCAAGTGTCCCTAAAAGAGACATGCCTCAACCTCACTAACTCGGGGGTTCCAGCATGGGGCAAGAATCTTCTGCCAGCCTGCAGCTGGGGGCTCACCCTCTTCCCCAAACAGGCGGTAATGAGGCTGTCGGTGGGAGAAGACGGTAAATTCTGGGAGCTCCAGGCTCCACTATTACTTCTGCCTTCTTCAGTCCTCACTGGAATTCCTCCAGGCCTGGGTGAAGTGATGGAGGCGGGGGCTGGTGTCCCAGCTTGGGGCAGAGGAGGGACCCCACCCCCAATCACCTGAGACCGCTCCGAACTACAACTCCCACAATGCACTGGGCCATCCGGCTCCTCTGCCAAGAGGCCGCTGGTTGCAGAGCGTCATGGGAGTTGTAGTCAAGACTGGCCCTGATGGGAGGGGCATGGAGTCCGGGAGCCAGGGGCTTGAAGTGGGGACGCCAGCCCAGCCTTCTGCCCGCAGATGGATTCGCCCTGGGCCGGGCCCCTCTGGCTCCTCCCTACGCCGTGGTCCTCATTTCCTGCTCGGGTCTACTGGCCTTCATCTTCCTCCTCCTCACCTGTCTGTGCTGCAAACGGGGCGATGTTGGCTTCAAGGTGAGTGAGGCGCTTGATAGGGCTCCAGTGGGGAGGAGGACTCCAGCAAGGCCTTTCCCCGGACCCAGGTGGTTGGGAGGGAGAGTGGCAGTCAGTCCGAGGGCACCTTTCGTCCTGAAGCTATGGCAAGGGCCTGAGGCTTGGAATGGAAATAGGACCGGAACTGGAGACAGTTATGAGAAAGATGGGGAGAGATACTTACAGGAAGGACCGTGGCATGTCTCAGCCCTGAATTCTCCCCTCCTGACCCCTCCCGGCCCAGGAGTTTGAGAACCCTGAAGGGGAGGATTGCTCCGGGGAGTACACTCCCCCGGCGGAGGAGACCTCCTCCTCACAGTCGCTGCCTGATGTCTACATCCTACCACTGGCCGAGGTCTCCCTGCCCATGCCTGCCCCGCAGCCTTCACACTCAGGTACTGCCCCGTGCCCTGTCTAGGATCGCATGGTCTTGAGAGTCTTCCGTCAGGGGCCAGGTTGCTGAGGCCCCAGGCAGCCAAGGGGAAAAGTGGAGGTGGGAGCCACAGAAGCTTGACCCTGGAGGGGCCAGGGATCATCTGGGTGGAAGCAATTGCTTAATCCAAAACCAGATTCCAAAACCAGATTTGGGTTTTGGATGAAGCAATCAATGGTGGGGCAATCAAAGCTGAGGACAGCCTAGATCTCAATCTCAGAGGCAGCCAATGGCAGGCCCAAGACTGGTCATAGAACCTTTAGGGATGACAAGAGGAAGGACGGATTGGATACTGGAACCTGTGGGCAGCCAATGAGGAGGCTGAGGTCCCATCATTGGAATGTTGGGGGCAGCCAATGAGGAGGCTGAGGTCCCATCATTGGAATGTTGGGGGCAGCCAATGAGGAGGCTGAGGTCCCATCATTGGAATGTTGGGGGCAGCCAATGAGGAGGCTGAGGTCCCATCATTGGAATGTTGGGGGCAGCCAATGAAGAGAGAGATTGGTGCCTGCTTTGACCCCCAGTCGCCATGGAGTTGGGAGGTGTCCTTGGCACTTGGGAAGGGAGAGAGGCTCAGGGGCCTTCCCCTTTTGCTCCCCCAGACATGACCACTCCCCTGGGCCTTAGCCGCCAGCACCTCAGCTACCTACAAGAGATTGGGAGTGGCTGGTTTGGAAAGGTGAGTGGGCTGGGGGTGGGAGGCAGGGGGTCCATACAATCCGGGGTTGTACTTGTTTTGTGTCCATTCCCCCTGCTCCGACCACTTCTCATCTGTTCCCTGCCTCCTCCCCTGCCCCCTCAGCCCACCCATCACCCTTGCCTCTGTCCACCTCTCGCCCATTCCCACCCCCTCCAACCCCCCACATCTGTCCATCAGCACCTCCCTCCTCACTCCATTGGTCACTCCGCCTCGCCACCTGGCTTTCCACGCGTCAGTCTGTCCATCCTTCCATCCGTCCCTTTATCCATCGGACTCTGGGCCTGTGAGTCTCTCACCCCATGTCTGGTGGGGGTCAAGGGTGGTGGGATATGAGGGGAGAACCTGGAAAGGGGGGGAAGTTGGGAGCCTGCGGTGGGTGGAGGTGGTCCCAGGGGAGGGGGCTGGGGAATCCCGGGTGCACACTGACTCCCGGGTACCCTTGACCAGGTGATCCTGGGAGAGATTTTCTCAGACTACACCCCAGCCCAGGTGGTGGTGAAGGAGCTCCGTGCCAGCGCAGGGCCCCTGGAGCAGCGCAAGTTCATCTCAGAAGCACAGCCCTACAGGTATGCTGACATGGGCCCTGGAGGCCCAGTTATCCTGGTTTACGCCTCATGGAGGTCACATTTGGGAGTGAGAGGAGTATAGTGTGGGGTCAGACCTGGGTTTGAATCCTGGATCTACCTCGTTCGGGCTGTGCCACTCAGTCAAGAGTTTCCCTCTCTGAGCTTCATGTTCTTTCGAGGGCAAGGGGAGGGCCTAGAATCAGAGCCAGAGGCCTGCCCCCTCCACTCTGAACCTCAATATCTTCACCTGGAAAGTGAGTCCAGGATGCCCGAGCGTTCCTATGCAGAGGGCAGCTGAGAGGATGCGAGATTACCCTGTGTTAAGCACTGGGTAATCAGGCCCCTGCTTGTGGGTGAGAAAGGGTAGACCAGGGCTCTGAGTGGGCATCCCAAATGGCCTGTGTACAGCCCACAAGCCCTGCACAGCTTGACCCTGTGCCCTTCCTGCCACTGAACCCCTTGTGCCAGCCACCTTCCTCACTAACCCTCCCATCTGTCAGCCTTTCTGCCTCAGGACACTTGCTTGCCCTTGCTGTTCCCTCTGGAATATCATTCCTGGCTCACCCACCCCCAGCTTCTGACCCTTCCCCTCCTCAAGTCTCAGCTCAGAGAGGCCTTCCCCCTCCCCCCCATCTAAGGCAGGCCCTGGGATCCCCCATCACATCAGCTCATGTGTTTTCTTCATAATACATATCCAGTGTGTCATTCTTTTCATCTGCTCAGTTGCTTATTTGCCCGTCTCTGCTGGCAACCACTAGCCACATATGGCTATTTAACTTTGGGCTAAATCAAATAAAATTAAATTAAAAATTCATTTCCTCAGGTACACTTGCCACATTTCAAGTGCTCCGTGGCCACATATGGCCAGTGGCTCCCATGTGAGACAGCTCAGATCTAGAGCATTTTCACCCGCACAGAAGGTTCTGTTGGAGAGTGTAGGACTACACTGGCTGCTCAGGGTCCATACTGTTGTCACCTGAGCACAAGTGCCATCAGCCCTCAGTAGACAGAGCGAGCCAGAGACCTGAGATCAATTCCCAGCTGTGTGACCCTGGGCAAGTCACTTTGCCTCTCTGAGACTCCATTTCCTCTGGATCAAATGGGAAACATCATCCTGCCTCTTAGGGTTGTTGGGAGAATTTGCTAACAGAGTGGCCGGCCTTGGCTCAGATTAGTAGCTGTGCAGTGGTCCCAAGCTTCCTGCTACACCTGTCACTCTAAATCTCCTGCACTGGGGCTCCAGCCAGTTTTCAAGCCCCAGCACATACCCGGTCTGTGATAGAAGCAGGAGCAACAGGAGGCGCTATTCTCCCAAGTGGAGAAGGCTGGAACACAGGCCATGGACGGCTCTCAGTGCACGAGCCAAGTGACAGAGGGAAAATAACTAACCAAGCACCTACCCTGCACCGGGCTCTGGGCTGCAAGCCTGGAGCATTTGAATATTCCCACAGACCCCAGGCCATGGACCAAGGCCAGATCCTTTGTTCCACACATTTTTATTGAACACCTACTGGTCTGAGGCACTGGGGACATGGCTACCTGAACAAAAAGCCCCAAATCCTTGTCTCAGTAGAGCTGGCTGCTTAGTGAACGGAGGGGCGCCCCCCAGTGTTGGGGGTCAGTGACTTTTCTTGGGCAAATGATGTTGAGCTGAGGCCTGAGGGATGAGGAGGACTTTGACGGGTGGGTGTAACCCACAGAGAACTGTTAGTGCAAAGGCCCCAAGGAGATGCACACGGGGGTGAGACGTGATGCTGGGAAAGGCGGTGGGCCAGCTGGAGGGCCAGGAAAGACTGAGGAAGGAGCCAGGTGGGATGCTGGGGAGCCATGAAGGGCTGTGAGCAAGAGAGCGGCAGGTCAGGGACAAACTGAAGGCAGGAAGGCCGGGATGTGGGGAGGATGCTTGAGCTGGGGCTGTAGGGAGAGGAGGGGGTAGAGAAGAGTCAGAGGGCAGGAAGGCTGGGGCTGAAGAGGAAGGTGGGACAGGGAGGCACCTGGGGGTCTGGCCCAGGAACTGGGGGACAGTGGGCAGTCCTGAGACAGGACATGGGGAAAGAGTGTCTATGTGTGGTGGGGGAGACCATGGGTGAGGAAACGGAGATCAAACAGGTTGAAGCAACAGTTTGGTTTTGCTGGGTGACCGGGGTGGGCCAGGGGCTGGGCTGGGCTGGAGGAAAGGGCTGTTTCCTGATCTAGCTGTACCCCCACAGGAGCCTGCAGCACCCCAACGTCCTCCAGTGCCTAGGCGTCTGCGTGGAGACCCTGCCTTTTCTTCTGATCATGGAGTTCTGTCAACTGGTGAGGTTCTATGGGAAGGAGGAGTGGGGAGCTGGACAGGGTGGGGGCCAGGGGTGCCTAGGGTCCTAGGACTATGACAATAGCACGGTCATCATCACAGCAACACCTGTGTGACAAGCGCTAAGGTGAGCACTCTGTCCACAGGTGGTGCCACTGAACTAGCAGTGAGTTGTGTTTTGTTTTCACCCCCCTAAAGCTCAGAGGGACTGCCAGCTGAGTGCGAGGCCTCCCCACCCTCTCCTCGGGTTGGCTGGATGTGTGGATACCTGGGAGGGGGTGGTGGTGCTGACCTCTCCCTGCCCTTCCTCCCAGGGGGACCTGAAGCGTTACCTCCGGGCCCAGCGGCCCCCGGAGGGCCTGTCCCCTGAGCTGCCCCCTCGAGACCTTCGGACACTGCAGAGAATGGGCCTGGAGATTGCCCGAGGGCTGGCGCATCTCCACTCCCACAACTACGTGCACAGGTGCCAGCGGGGGGCCACGGGGAGGAAGGTGGTGTTGGGACTGCTTAGAGGCAGGAGGTGAGGCGCCCGGGGAGGGGCTCGCGGAGCTGAGGAGGCTGGAGTGGCGAAGGCAAAAAGGGAAAGCCCTGGAGGGCACACTGAGGCGCAGGAGACTGGAGAGGAGAGGAGGGAGTTTGGAGGGGAGCAGGGGGAGGGGTCAGGGAAGGGGAGGGGTCAAGGGGAGATGGAGGGGCCTTGGGGAGATGGAGGATTGGAGAGGAGGAAAGAGGAAGGGGCGGCGTCCGGAAGGTGAGCTGCCCCAGGCTGCCCCCTTCTCACCTGCGCCCCTTTCCCGCACCCAGCGACTTGGCCCTGCGCAACTGCCTGTTGACCTCTGACCTCACCGTGCGCATCGGAGATTACGGGCTGGCCCATAGCAACTACAAGGTGGGGGCTGCCTGCCTTCTGTCGTCGGGGCTGAGGGCAGTAGGGGTGTCTCGACCCCGCTGACCCTGTCCGCCCGCCCCCCAGGAGGACTACTACCTGACCCCCGAGCGCCTGTGGATCCCGCTGCGCTGGGCGGCGCCGGAGCTGCTGGGGGAGCTGCACGGGACCTTCATGGTGGTGGACCAGAGCCGGGAAAGCAACATCTGGTGAGGGGCCTGGGCGGGGCAGGGCGGGGGGTCGCACGTTGCTCGCTTCACGGATGGGGAACTGAGGCCCAGAGGGGAGGTCCCCAGACAGGTCGGGGCGGGGCTCTGATCTCTCTCTGCCCTCTGCTACCTACAGGTCCCTGGGGGTGACTCTGTGGGAGCTGTTTGAGTTTGGGGCACAGCCCTACCGCCACCTGTCAGACGAGGAGGTCCTTGCCTTCGTGGTCCGCCAGCAGCATGTCAAGCTGGCCCGGCCTAGGCTCAAGCTGCCCTATGCGGACTATTGGTGAGGGCAGGGCCTGCCCCAGACCCCTGACCTTCCACATCCCACCCCAGATGGTCCCAGAATCCTCCATTCACAGGCCACCCACGACCTCTGTCATCACCTGTTGCGGCCCCCAGTGTGGTGCAGGAATGTCCCCACCCCTCTGCCAGCATCTGCTACTTGGATGTTTGCTGCTGGGGTTGAGTGTAGAGCTGGCGTTTGAACCCGGGTTTCTCCACCCCTAGAAGACCTCTGCTGCTTCTCTTCTCTGACTCCAGACTCAGCCCAAACTGGAAGGCCACCTTAACCATAAATCCTCACATCGGCCTCGCTATCCCCGCTTCCTCTAGGTCCCTGTCCTCCTCTCTCTGGGTCTCTGTCTCTCTCTCCCTGGGATTCTGTCCCCCGCTCTCTGGGTATCTGGCTCCCCTGTATCTTGGTCTCTGCCCCCCCACCCCAGGGCTCTGCCCCAATCTTGTCTCCTCCTCTCCCCCAGGTACGATATTCTGCAGTCCTGCTGGCGGCCGCCTGCCCAGCGCCCCTCAGCCTCTGATCTCCAGCTGCAGCTCACCTA